CTAACTCTTGCGGGAAGAAATTTCCGGCACTCGTTAGGAAAATAGCTATTTTCCAAAGACCTCATAAAACTAGAGACCCAATGTTCCATTCATAAATCGCCTGGGAAACCGATCTATTATTGTTTTTAATGTTATTGAAAGTCACTAATGGGTGCGAGAGAGAACTACTTGTTTGTCCCCTAAATGGCAACACTGTTTAACTTTCCGCTTTTCTGGGTGATGGGTGCCCACCAGTGGCGTATCATTAAACCAAAGACCTATTAAAGTAACAAAATTCGATCAAAAAAAATAAATAATCAGCTTCAAATTGTAACAGTCGCGTAGATCTAAAGATTATTTTTTTAAGGTTGATAAAAGTGCAGTTGCACTCGCTTTTTGAAATTTAAATCTAAAAACATAGTTTGAACCTAAATGTAACCAATTTATCAGGAAAAATAATCAAAATAAATAAAAACCAAAAGAACTGTGTGAATTTATACAATCTTTATTCGAGAAAGTATTGGATATATTATATTGTGACACTGTATGTAACTGTTACATTCTTTGCTGCTAGTTAGTAATAGCAAAAATCACAACAGATTGAATTTCGGGTATGATAAAAATATGAGTAGATAACATTAAAACAAGATATCAATCAATCAATCAATCAATCAAAATATACTTTATTGTCGGAAAATAAATTTCATTGACAAAGCATGATCTTAAATAATGTACAAGTAATTGAAAATTATCGGGTTATAAAAAAAAGGTACAATTAATAAAATAAAAAATAAACATAAACATAAATGTCAAAGCATAATCCTAAGCAACACAGGTACAATCTTTACTACATCAAACTATAGAGTCATATAGAAGGTATAGTCAATACAGAAAAAACATAAAGGTTGAGGTCAGAACAAAACAAAACAATGAAACAAACAAAATTAAAATTTTCCATTTAAAAATTCATTAATATGATAGTAGGCCTTTCCATGTAAAAATGTTTTGAGCTCTAGTCTAAACTTCTTAAAACCACCTATCTGCCTTAAGTTAACAGGCAGGTGAATAAAGATTTGCCTACTTTTATAAATAAGTGAATTTTGCGTCAATGCAGTCTTGGGTATAGGGAGCTGAATTTTAAGATGTTGCTTAGTTGGATAAGTTCTTGGATATTCTAACTCATCATAATGTTTCTTGTGCAAAAGGCAAGCAGTTTCCATGATGAATATACAGCATACTGTGAGTATTTTATGTTTTAAAAATAGTTGCTTGCAATGCTCCCAATATCCAACCACAAATAGCGCACTGCTCTCTTTTGAATGACAAAAACAGAATCAAACAATTTATTAGAACAGTTACCCCAAAATGCAATGCCATACGTACCTGATATATGATTCAACCAACGAAAAATAAACCAACTTAGCAGTATTTAAACCAGGTTTATTTGACGCTATTCTTACAGCATAGCAACCACTTGCCAATCGTTTGTTAAGATTTGTAACGTGTTCATTAAACTCAAGTTGAGTATCAACATGAATACCAAGAAATTTACAGCTAGTTTTATTTTTAATTGTGTGTGTGTCTAATAATAAATTATCAATAGTAATATAACTAGTGCAATGGAAATTATTGATAATTTTTGGGAAATTTGCCCGAATGCAAAGTTGAGTGCAAATTTGTCGAAAATTATAAATATATTTCCATTGCACGAGTTGTATTTAATGAGAGAATTTCATAAATCAAAAATTTAAATTTTTTGTCAAAAAATGTCAAAACACCAGTTTTCGCACCAGTTAGTATGCAATTATCTGATAATTTGCACTAGTGCAAATTATCGCGTAATTACAATCTGATTGGTTCAAATCAACAATCAAAACATGTCAATTTATTGTTGGAATACCAGTTTTGACAGATGTATGAAATTCTCAAAAAAAAATTTAAAGGTCAATATGTTGGTTTTCTTAGAGTTAAAACAAAGCAAGTTAGAGTCACACCAGCTCTTTACAAGATTTAGGTCTTCAGAAATAATATTTTTCAACTCTTAAATATTTTTTCCTTTCCAGGACAGAGTAATGTCATCAGCGAATGATGTTATTTTAGCTCTAATGGGGAGGTGATTAATATCATTTAAATAAAGTAAAAACAATATTGGTCCCAACACAGACCTTGTGGAAGACCATTGGTCACAGCCAAGTTTGATGACTGAGTATCACCGATCTTAACAAATTGTTCTCTTCGCGAGAAATAAGATTCAAACCATGAGTATGAGATTCCTCCGAAGCCATAAATTTCTAGTTTTTTAAGCATTATTTTATGATTTATGCAATCAAAGGCTTTAGAGAAATCACAAAACACAATGGCGACAAGCTCACTTTCATTAAGACTGACGAATACCTGTTCCAAAAGATTAAACATGGCATCATGGGTGCCCTTTAATGGTTGGAATCCAAATTGAGTGTCACTTATTATGTTGTGTTTTGAAAAATATTTCATCCATACTGATAATCCAAAATCCAGTTAACATTAATTTTTGATATTCTTGGAATGTTTAAAATCATCCTTTTTCACATATTACTCCAAACAAAACTAATTTTATTCATTTCTAAATAAAATTAATTTTGTGTGGAGACTTCTCGTACGATTTGTACGTTCTGCATCCAGCTTTTTTACTGTTTCATAGTAAATTCTGATCTTAAAATAATTTTGTAAAATCAGTTTTACCAACTGTATATGATGACCACTCATAAACTCGGCATCAAACATGTGATCCCCTAAAGTATCCCAGACAGAAGTGGGTAAACTTTTTAAAGTAATAATTATTAATATCTGATTGAGATTTTTTATATTTTTATTGAAAATATTTTTTGTGTTGTGAAAAAATCTGAAAACCCGTCTGCAGCTCTACATGTTTCTATCACCAGCTTGCTGCCTTTTATTAAGTTGCCAAATTTTTTTCGCTCTAACAGGTAGGATGGCGTAGATGAGGGAGATTCCAGTAAGTTTAAACATGTAGAGCAGCATACACATTTTCTCAAAGATTTCACAACATATCCTGCTATATAAGCAACAATGTCTTCACAATATATAGTTAAGTCCCAAGCATTCGACCTAACAAAATTGGCTTGAATTTCTTCATTGACACTTTGTAAAAATAGACAGTATTCTTCACTTTCCTCTAATCTCTCACCAGTCTCCGAAGTAGTAACCTGGTTGGAGCCACACATCAACATTGGGCCATCTAAATTGGTAACGGTTCTTTTAGATGTGGATGTTAATATTGTTATAATTCAAGATTTGTTGCATTGCCTGTTTCTGGAGCAGTTATTTGTGAATGAACCAGCGATCTTTTGAAGGCAGCTTCAAATTGACGGGCCGTTGGATTATTGTTATGGCCACCTTTGCTTCTAATTGCCCCAAAAAATAATTCCAGGTGATCTTGGGACAATTTGTAGCTTAAAATATATTTCAAAACTCCTTTTTTCTCTACCAGATCCATATACATATTTCTTAAGCTTTCCATACAAATTAAAAGCCCAAGGAAACCAGCCTTCCTGGCAGATTTTAGAATGGGTCTACCTTTCAAAGTGAGACCTACGATATAATGTCTCATTTCATTGAAATACTCAAAAAAAAGTTCAGATGTTTGATCTGAAAGGGGTCTTTTAAACTTGTATTTATTGAACCTGTTCCTTAAGTTTAAAATATCAAATAAATTATTAAATTTGATCAAAAAATCTGATGTCCCTTCTGAATTGAGGAAAGCCTCATTTTTCAGATCCTCTCTCAAAAAAATAATTGCGTCGCTGACACTTTTACTGATTGTTTGGGTAGCAAGACGTACTTTCATCTTCTCCCTTTCCCACTTCAAGTGTCGCAAGCGCACTTTCGTTGCTGCATGCAACCCCTCTGCATTTTGCAACTCAACCAATTTTGTTATGTACATCCATTTAATGTCACGATCTTCTGCATCTTTTATGCCTTCTTGACTACCAAAACAATTCCTCACGAGTTTTATCATATGGCATGGGTCTAGAAGGATATAAATGTTTTCATTAGTCACTGGGTGTTTGAAAAATGTTTTCAAATTTAATGGGTCAGAGAATGCAGCTCCTAACTTTTCAGCCATGGTTAAGTTGACAGGAGCCCCATCAAAAGTAAGCGATGTTACTTGTACCCCACTTTCCTGGATAAAACGAAGGCATTGTTTTACGAGATTGGCTTTTTCAGTAGCTGCCAAACCATCTAATAGGAAGTAACCTACAGGAATCTTCCAGGTGCCGTTCAAACATACTAACATGAACACTAAGACATCCTTAGCTTCAGGAAGAACATCTCCTTCGATTTTGGTACCAATGTCCACATAGCCAGTAAATTTGGTTCCGCTCCACTCCACTTGTCGTCTTATCGACATTTCATCCATTACAAGATTGCAAAGCAGTTGATGGTTGACATTTTTTTGTTTGAGTTGTAGCGCATTAAGTGCCTCTGCAGAAAATCCAGGACTTCCTTCAACAGATCTATACCATGTGGAAATAGTCCCCAAGTGCGGTAAAGATTTGTTGAATGTTTTTCTTACAAAATTGTAAGCTCTCGGGGAGTAAAAAGCTAATGTAAGGGCAAAAGCTTTTAAGGACTCATTGTATCTTTGCTTTCCTTGGAGCAGGTTTTCAAAAATATCCGCAGCTGGTCCTGCTACTGAAGCCTGGAAAATAAAATGTATCAGTTCAAAAAACTCAAAATGCAATTTTAAAAGTAGAGGTTCGTGGTTTTCTCACTTATTAAAAACCAACATTTCTGTCATCTCTACACATACCCTAATCGAGGTTTCAGCTGATTCCGTTATAAGAGATTTTTCTCTCAAAACTTTTATAAGCTCTGTAAGCGATTTCACACGTTTTTTCAGACGTCTAACTTGATTTTGTAGTACGTGAATTTTCTTTCTCTGTTGAATGATGGTGGATTTTAGAATGCCAACGTTTTTTCTTCTTTTCTTGGGAGATGAAAAATCGCTACTGGCCATGTCACCTACATATCGCCTCTTCCTGTAAAAAAAATATAGCTATTAATATAATTTCAGGACATGTAAGATCACTGCCAGCATACCTTTTTTTACTTTCAGCTGTTTTAATAATGGTTGAAGGCACTGATTCTCCTACTTCCGATGCAGTTTCAGTTGTTGAGGTTGAAGCCGTTTCAGTTCCTGAAGATGATACACCCTCACGATTTGTCATCTCAATATCTTGTATTCTGAAAATGATTTAATAGTTGAAACTTTGAAGAATTTCTAAATAAAAATGCATAATAAAAATGCAGGTAATCAAATTTGTATGCTCACCCAATTCCAGAGGGATCAGGACCAGGAACAGATATTAACTCGTGAGTTATCGGGGAAGTTACATTTTCAGGCCTAAAATAGAAAAAAAAAAATAAATAATTTATACATTTACCTCATTTATGAAAAGAATGCATGAAAATGTAATAAGGCAATAAATGAAAGTTAATATAGCTATTTATACAATAAGTTGCGAAATGAGTGTCTTTTAGGCACGCGACGTGAAAATTGTCCAACGAGGCAAAGCCGAGTTGGACAACACGTCGAGTGACTAAAAGACTTCGTTTCGTAACGTAATGTATACAAGATTTTTTCTACTGGCGTTTCATAATAAAAAAACACAATTTTATTCCAATGTTTGTCACCTGCTTTTGCTCGACACCTTTCATGTTGGTGACTAATATTCATAATAAATACAGAACAAAATTCAAATTTGCATTTAGTGTGTTTTTTATTTCTGAACAACACACTTTTAGGCACTAGTGCTTAAAAGTTAGTTTTACGCACTTGAAAGTCACTTTTACGCATTTGAAAGTCACTTTTACGCACTGAGTGCTTAAAAGAATGTCATTTCAAAACTAAAATGACAATCGAAAAGTTGCTATTATGAAACGTCAGTAGAAAAAACTATGTTCATCATTACTGTCTGCTAATTGTCAATAATAGTTATTTATGATATAAGTGCTAAAAGTGACATTTTATTTTGTTGAAAAGGAAAGTTTGGGACACGACGCCGAAGGCGGAGTGTTCCATCCCTTTGAACAAAATGAAATCACTTTTAGCACGAATATCATACACTATTTTCTCTACAAACGAACTAAAAGTGATTACTTTTAGCACTGAGTGTCATAAAATAGCATTTTAGACACTGACAGCATCCATTAAAAATTACACTTTCAGTGACGTTTGTAGAAAATAAAATATAGGTAGGTAAGGTCATTCTTTGAAGCAATTCTTGTATTTTTTGATACATTTTCAAATAATTAATAAATCTTTACATACCTTTGGATGTTATAGTCAATATTCTCGATTTCATCAGGGGCTTGGGATTCAACAAATGCTTTGTTATCCAAGCATAGTTTAGAAATCCTGAAATGTTATACAAGCTGACATAATCTATATAAGTGATAAATGCCATTTTATTTTGTAAAAAACAGAAAATAAGGCCGTTACCCAATTCCTTAATTCTTAATATTTGTTCTTAATTCTTAAAAAGTTCAATTTATTTAACATTAAGGTTTTTAACGATTAAGAATTAAGAACAAAAATTAGGAATTGAGGAATTGGATAACCCCGGCCTAAATTAGGAAAACGTGAAGCAAACTAAATACACAAATAAAGCAATAGTAATTACTCACTGCAAGGTTTTTCTTGGAGAAGGAGGAGAGTTGGTGAGTGAGCTGAAAACAGTGGAAGTGGAACCAGAACTGAAATTGAAAACAGCAAGTAGTTTAGAAAATTGTTATTGTGGTTATCAAAAATAGCTACCTGTGTGAAAAATCGTCCAAAAACATAATCCCTTCACAACGGCGTGGATTAGCACCTTTTCTTATGTACTTGGTTCCATTTGACTTACGCATAAGATCAGCTGGAAAAAAGTGATCTGAACACAACTCTGGGTTTTTTGGCAAAGCTTGGCCTTCGATGATGCCAACTAAAGAGAACCAGAGTTTTCGTTTCACAGGATCTTTGGGAAACCTAGGTAATTTGAAAAGATTCAAATAAAAACGTATAAATGTGCTACAAAAAGTTTAAAGATACAATCACATAGAGGATACCTAGCAGTAACTACCTCAAATTAATTTTAATACCTAGTAAAAATGTTCTAAGCAGGTATATTATCAAGGCAAGTAAGTAGGTACCCTAGGTTAGCAAAACCAAACTTGCAGAAATCAAAAATATCTATGCCATTAAATGCTGCAAATAAATTGACATAATAATAAACGTGTTGCCCCTTTTGTTGAAAAAATCCTGATGTTCTGCTAACTTAACTTTGAGCTAGCAAAGAATATCTTGAAATGTTCAAAAACCACCAACATAAAGGTTTATGATCAGTTGCTAATTTGTTGTTTCAGAAAGTAAATGATCAATTATCATAAATGAACAAATAACATGAAGTTATATAATTAGTATGTTTCTTACATGATGTATTTTGAAAGTGAAATTCATATTGCAATATGCCTCGGTTCTTGGTTGGCAGAAATCAAAAATATTTGTTAATAATTGCTGCTCAATTGCTGCCAACTGGTGGCTATAGTTGATATTTTCAGGTATTGAGAAAAAACCTTTTTTTAGTAGGATTTATAAAAGTTTGATGTAAAATATACCTATTAAATTGAATAAAGTAAATTTTGTACTATTCTGACCAAAGAATACTATACTGGAGCAACAAAAAATAATTTTCAATTATTGTTTTGGTTAATTACCGGTAAGTTAACAGTTAAAAATAAAAAGTGGAAGAAATTAATTATCATGGCAATTTTTAGCAGCAATTAATCATAAAAATATTTTGCATTTCTGCTAACTGAGACTCGAGAGTCATTAAAATACGAATTTTATCCATTTTCTACCAGGAAAAATGATCTGAGATACATAATAATTACATAATTTCCTTTTGTTTTAACGTATTATTAGGTAAGCAGAAAATAAAGGTTTTTTCAAAAAAAAAAAAAATAGAATACCTACTTAAATTTATGGCAACTGAGTAAAATTTTAGTTAAAACCAGGTAAAGGTATACAACCACAGACCAACACAAAACTGTATTTAAAACAAGTACCTACCAGTTATAGTCTAAGAGCCAGTGAATTTTTTTTCGTAAAAAGTTGCCGATGGACAATTTCTTGCTATAACGATGTAGTATTATCCCCCGAGATCGGAAACCATAGTCTGGCAGCATGTAGAAGTTTGGCGTAGGCATGATTAATAAGTCATTAAAAAATTCACGAAATTCGAAATACTTGCCGATGGTCAATTTTTGCGGCACATCATTCAACAATGTTCCATTAACTAGGCTGTAATAATGCCAGACGATTTTTCCGGGTTTAAAGCCTTGCCAGACAAGTGCAAAAAAAAATTAAATTTTCGAAATAATTGCCGAAACTTTTTTTTTTTTAATTAATGAGAAAAAAATTGCGAATCGAACAAAAATATTATTATGACGAAATTGTAGACCCAGTCGTGGTAACCGCACACGAGTGCCATAATGAGCGTTACCGTACGTGTAATATACGTTTTATCTACAACTTAGATTTTTGTTTTATGTATTCAAAATGGTTTTGATTTTTCACAACAGATTATTCGGTGACTTAAAACTCAAGGCTGAAAGAAAATATCTTCTCAACAAGTACTTAAAGCAACAGTGCAATCAGCTGTCAGCAGATGCTGTCATCAGCATCAGTTATAAATTCTACTTTTAATATTCATAAATAAGAAATTAGTTACATAATGAGCCTATTAAATCGCTAGTGATATAAGGTGCTCATTACATCACTTTTATAAAGAATACCTTTTTTTCATAAAATTGATAATAAAAATGTTTCCCATATGCTGCGAACTTAAGTGAACACACTGTATATACACGGGTGTCGTATATGGAAACGGTCTAATATTTCAGAACGCACTTAAGAATTATCTATCTACAATATTTCCTACCTGGGAGTTTTTGGGAATGCCCGATTCAATGGTGGTATTTACAATGTGGCCAAGTTTACCATTTTGAAGATACTGTATGTAACTTAATTTTTTTAAATGAAAGTCCCTCTTTATTTCTACTGTAATTAATTCAGCGTCCCAACATCACCAAAACCCCTAAATGCCAAACCTCCATTTGACTTGGGGTTTGAAATATGACAACACAGTTTTTTGTTGAAATGTATGAAAACGGTCTCGCATTTCAGATCAAGCTTTAGTAAAATGTAGAATATTTCCTACCTAGACATCTTAGAAACGAAAAAACTTGGCAATATTGCAAATACCACCATTGAATCGGGCATTCCCAAAAAACCCTAAATAAGAAATATTGTAAAGTTTGTTTTTTTTTAAAGATAAAAGTCATAATGACATTATGTTGGCAATACAATGTAAAATTGTCAATGCTTTCAAATTTTTTATGTAGAAAAGGCTTGTGTTGCCAACATAGTTACTAAATTTTTGACTTGGGGAATTATCTTTAAAAAAAAAAAACAGAATTTACATTTTTCTTAAATGGGTTCTGAAATATTAAGCCGTTTCCATACATAAGTACAACCATGTACTATATACATATCATAAAACGCTTCTGTCCCACTCACTCCTTGTGTTTCCCTCTCATTTGCTCTCGTACGGGAGCAACAACGTGTGGCCTCGGCGTATTATCCCCTCCCCGACGCGGCATATGTATGAGTGCGTTCACGGACGCGTAAAATAACGAAGTTCGGAGTCGTCTAGCAAGAATTAATCCTCGATAAAACCGTCTGGCACTAGGTTTGTTCGATTAGCAATTTTTTTCTCTTTAATATAAAAAAAAAACAAGTTTCGGCAAGTATTTCGATTTTTTTATATTTTTTTTTCGCACTTTGGAGGCGTCTGGCAAGCCTTTAAACCCGTGAAAACCGTCTGGCATTATTACAGACTTATTAATGGCACAATTTTGAATGATATGCCGCAAAAATTGACCATCGGCAAGTATTTCGAATTTCGTGAATTTTTTGATGACTAATAAATTATGTCTACGCCAAACTTCCCCGCTACATGCTGCCAGACTATGGTTTTCGGTCACGAAGGATAATACTACACCGTTTAAGCAAGAAATTGTCCATCGGCAACTTTTTACGCGAAAAGTTCACTGGCTCTTAGACTATTACATGTTTTGAATATAACCACGAACCCTGTAGGTACCTCATTTGTAGCCCCAATCCATACCCTTTATAAGAACTATGTTAATGGTTTATAGGAAGAAACCTAGGGTATTTTTCTGCTAGCCATAAAAAAGAATTATTTATTATTTTAATTAGGTATGGCTTCAACAGAAAACCTAAATATTTTTTATTTTACATATAAATTGTTAGGTACTGACGTCTTATTTTTTCTCAATTTTTGTAATTAATTATAGTCATAGATAATAAAACTTGAATTTATGTAGGATTTTTCAGGACTTGCGAGTCGGTTCGTACACCACTGGTCCTCTCAAATATAAATAATAAAACATAACCATACTTACCGATGAAAAGAATAATTTTTATTCACATGATCCGTTCTTTTGCAAACCACACATGCATGCACCATGATTGTTTATGGTGATTCGAAATAACACACAAAAAACCACTGAAAAAACTCAAAATTTGAAAAATATTCGCTGAAGCTGAAATAACGACGATAGGACAAACAAGCAACGTCGCACGAACTACCTGCTGTCGAATTCATTCATAACACGATTCGGAGTAGAGTGTATTGGTAGTAAAATAAAAATCGATGTTGCCAGATTGTTTAACTAGTTATGATAGAAATAATTTTAAAAAATCTTTCATGGACTTTTTGCATTGTAGTAGAATATTTATTCATAGATAAATTCAATATGAGGACAACTTCTGATTAATCTTTGATTAAAGCTAGTCCCTAGACCTATTAGAAGTATTTTTATATTAAAGTTATTCTAAATATTTGCGACAAATATGTAGAACTGGCTATGGTGCAATAATGACCGAAAGAGATGGAAAAAAAGGATGGAATGATGATGGATCGGGTAAAAATGTAAACAATTGGGTCTCTAGTTTTATAAGGTCTTTGCTATTTTCAAATTTCCTCTTAGCCCCGCCCCTACGTGAAAATAAAAGTTCGTGACGTTGTTAGTTTTTCCAATTTGGCAACACATCACGGCTTTGAGAACGCACAATTTGCAGTGACATTGACCGTCAAGAACGAAACGTGAAATTTACTACATCAAACAACGTAAATAATTTACTATGACAATGTCACATGTCACACAATTCACACAACACCACAAGTCGTTGAACTGTTGGTTTCTGTCGTTAGCAATGAACTATAAACTACACGTACCTGGAATGGCCCGACGATCTATAAATTTGCGGCAAATTGAGATGGAGAATGGGGATACCTATCACTATTTATCTTATTGCCGAATTATGGAAATCTTTCCTTGTCTAAAAAATATTATATTTCAGGTTAGGAATATACCAAACCTTACAGCAATGAACTGGAGAGAGAAAGGGATCCCCCTCTATGTAGCTTTTTTGGACGCACTGAGCGAGATGACCAATGCCATACAAATGCCATATCCGACAACAGTCGGTGCCATTCAGATACGTTTAGTTTATAGTTCATTGGTCGTTAGAGGCATTCTGAGCAGCGTTGACTAATTTTAGAGACACTATGCTGGAAAATAATTTAGTATCCCACTATACCATCCCCATTTAGCCTATAGAATAACGTTGAGCAGTTTTTTTACTGATTTTCATACATAGTATACTACCCCATTACTGAGTCATGCGAGTCTCACAAATTTTGTCAGGTAAATAAATCAGTCTGTAAATAGTTCATATTAATTCAGGGTCGGTTTTTTGTTTATTCATCTCCTGATAAACTTACTGGTAACTATCTACAAGATAAATTTACCCATCAATAG